TTTCTGATGAGAAGTCAGCTATTCATTGAATTGGTTTTCCCTTTTAAATGAGAATTGTTTTTCGTTTGTTGTTTCGAATATTTTTCTCTTTGTATTTTTTATCAAATGGGAGAAATCTTCAGCCATTATTTATTTAAGTATTCTAACTACCCTACCCCCTTTTCTCGCTCTTCTTCTGGGACTCCCATTACCTTTATGTTGATATACTTGGTATCCCACAGGTCGCTGAGGCTGTTTCTTTTTCTTCATTCTTTTTTCTCTCAATTTTAAAGATTGAATAATTTCTTTTAATCTACCTTCAAGTTCATTCATTACTCTTCTGCCATCTCAAATTTGTTATTGAACTCAAGTAAATTTTCAACTAATATACTTTTCAACTTCAGAATTTACATTTGGTTCTTTTTTTAAAAATAGATTACATCTCTTTATTATCTATTTGTTAAGTCATTGCTCTCATATATTCTTTTAATTATTTAAACATGATTTCCTTGAGTTCTTTGAATGTATTTATAATAACTGCTTTGAAATCTTTGTCTGCTAAATCCAACATGCGGGCCCACTCAGAGACAGTTTCTATCAACTGCTTTTTTCCCTGAGTATACATCATATTTTCCTGCTTCTCATAATTTTGTTGTTGAAAGCTGGACATTCTATTTTTTTATTTTTTTTTTTAAGTTTTTCTTTAAATTCCAGTTAGTTAATATACAATGCAGTATTAGTTTCAGGTATACAATTTACTGATTCACCACTTCCATACATCATCTGGTGCTCATCACAACAAGTGCACTCCTCAATTGCCATCACCTATGTCACCCATCCCCCCACCCCACTCCCCTCTGGTAACCATCAGTTTGTTCTCTATAGTTTAGGGTCAGTTTCTTGGTTTGCCTCTCTCTCTCTCTCCCCCCCGCCCGGTCATTTGTTTTGTTTCTTAAATTACCCATATGAGTGAAATCACATGTATTTGTCTTTTTCTGACTTATTTTGCTTAGCATTATACTCACTAGTTCCATCCATGTCACTGCAAATGGCAAGATTTCATTCTTTTTTATGGCTAAGTAATATCCCATTGTATGTAAATACCACATCTTCTTTATCAATTCATCAGTTGATGGACATTTAGACTGTTTCCATATTTGGGCTATTGTAGTTGTGCTGCTATAAACACAGAGGTGCATGTATCCCTTCGTAGTAGTATTTTTGTTTTCTTTTGCTAAATACCTAATGGTGCAATTGCTGGGTCATAGGGTAGTTCTATTTTTAACTTTCTGAGGAAACTCCATACTGTTTTTCAGAAAGGCTGTACCAGTTTGCATTCCCACCAACAGTGCAGAAGAGTTCCCCTTTCTTCACATCCTCGCCAATACCTGTTGTTTCTTTTTCTTTTTTTCCATTTGAAAGTAGTTATTGATTAACTGAACAGAGTACAGAAATAATCATGGTAGATACCTTAGTTCATCCTTCTAATAAGCTTATTGATCTGGTCTTCCCTGTTGCCAGCATCTCCACCTTCTACAAAATGGGTGGTCTTTTTCTTCATTTCCCCTCATGGAGAAGATAATTTGAAGGGCCATAAAAAGTTGTTTGCTTCTTTGAAACATTTTCCAACAGAATAGATCTCATGAATCAGATCCTCCATGCAGATGATGCCATATTTACCAATCAATGTGTTATCTGTCAGGGCAATTCACTTCGTGTTGATTTTGCCATAACCACACTTGTAGATCAATTTATTCACTGACTTCAGGTTTGGGTACCCCCATGCTATATATGGTTCCACAATCCTTAGCATGTTAACTGAAGCCTTGTTGAGCTTAACAAAGGTGCCATTGAAGATCTGGCGAAGGTGAAGAAGCTGCAACATCTTTCAAACCTTTGGGCTCACACCACTGATACCTCTGATGCTGATGACAAATGCCAATTTGGTTTCTGCAGGTATGTAGAAGTTGCCAGCTTTTTTTTGCCATCCTCACCATTCAAATCTCAGTTCTGTACATCTACCTATATTCCTTGTGGTAATGGTTAGCTTTTTCATAGATAAGCTTCCTCCTTGCATTTCTTTTGGGCAAACTTCTTTCTTAAGAGTTTCTGGCACAGCAGGAACCTTCTTTTCCCTCTCTTCTCCACCCTCCCTGGTTCCAGCTGGAAAAGAGACCTGCTGTTTCTTGTGTTGTTGATTTTAGCCATTCTGACAGGTGTGAGGTGATATCTCATTGTAGTTTTGATTTGTATTTCCCTGATGCTTAGGATGTTGAGCATCTTTTCATGTGTATGCTGGACATCTGTATGTCTTCTTTGTAAAAATGTCTATTCATGTCTTCAGGCCATTTTTTAATGGGATTATTCATTTTTGGGTGTTGAGTTTTGTAAGTTCTTTATATATTTTGGATATTAACCCTTTATCACATATGTCGTTTGCAAATATCTTCTATTTAAAAGGTTGCCTTTTAGTTTTATTGATTATTTCCTTCGTTGTGCAGAAGTTTTTATTTTGATGAAGTCCTGATAGTTTATTTTTTGCTTTTGTTTCCCTTGCCTCAGGAGAGATATCTAGTAAGAAGTTGCTATGGCAGATATCAAAGAGATTACTGCCTGTGTTCTCTCTAGGATTTTAATGGTTTCATGTCTCACATTTAGGTCTTTAATCCATTTGAATTTATTTTTTTTTAAAGATTTTATTTATTTATTTATTTGCCAGAGAGACACAGCGAGAGAGGGAACACAAGCACGGGGAGTGGGAGAGGGAGAAGCAGGCTTCCCGCTGAGCAGAGAGCCCAATGTGGGGCTTGATCCCAGGACCCATGACCTGAGCCAAAGGCAGATGCGTAACGACTGAGCCACTCAGGCGTCCCTTGAATTTATGTTTTGTGTAAGGTGTAAGAAAGTGGTCCAACTTCATTATTTTGCATGTTGCTGTCCAGTTTTCCCAACACCATTTGTTGAGGAGACTCTTTCTCCCCATTGCATATTCTTTCCTGTTTTGTTGAAGATTAATTGACCATGTAGTTGTAGGTTCATTTCTAGGTTTTCTATTCTGTTCCATTGATCTATGTGCCTATTTTTGTGCTAGTACCGAACTGTTTTGATCACTACAGCTTTATAATATAACTTGAAGTCCAAAATTGTGATGCCTCCAGGAAAGCTGGACATTTTAGATAAAACTCTGTAGCAAATCTGGTTTCTGATTTCTAGCCCCAGTGATAGTTGTTGCTGTTTTTCCCTTTGCTTGTTTTTTTTTTTTTTAAACCTGCCTGGACTAAATCTGTGGCTGTCTCCCTCACATTGTGTGCTTACTGATGTCTTTGGCTTTTTAGGGGTCATCCTGTACCTGCATAGCTTAGTGGTTAGTCCAGGATTCATCAGAGGTTGTGCTCAAACACCCAGAGCCAGTAGGACTTCCATTCTCTGCTATTAGATATATGTGTGGTTTGGAGAGAACATTCACATTTTAGGCAGTTTTCACATCTGCTTAACTTTTACTTTCCAACAGGACCTGTTATGTTTCCTCTGTGTACATGCTGCCTCTGGTTGGCCAGTGATGGATGGAGAGCCACTATCTATGACTATCTATTTCCTGATCTCTTTTTTATATTACTGGCTAATCCTTGATCAATTGCTTACCCCAATCAGGACTGCAACCTCAGGCCAGGAGATGCCACTGGATTTTTCACATTTGTCTCCATATTAAAAGAGGTTTTCATGACTTGCTCCACCTTGATAGATTACATCACCAATCAAACTTATAGGGCAGTAGAGCATGGAGGAGTAGCCTCTGGGACAAATGACACAGACCATTTTTACCTGATGTGTAGAATTTTTAATAATTGACACTTCTCAATTTGTTGTGTGCATCTGATTGATTTCTAGAGCACTGAAATGGATATTTTTGATAATTTTGCCTTATACTTGTTTTCCATAGAGAGGATTTGTTTATCTCCTTTCTTCATCAATGTGAGAAGTCTTGCCCTGAAATCCATTTTTATGTTAGATAAAACTGTGTTTATCAAGCAGGTATTTATGAGATACCAGCTTGTTGGTTGGTAAAAAATCTGTTTCATAGGTTGCAAATATTTGGGAAATGTTGAGTTAAACAAAATTAAATGGGGTTCTTTATTATAGGACTTCACAGGGTCATGAATATGCCAAGATACATTGCACATCTGTAAGAGCGGGGCTGTGAGTAGAAAAAAAGTATGCAGCATTTCCCACTTAATTTAGCCACAGAATACCTTTTACAATGAATTTCTTTTAACAAGAAACACTGGTAAATGTTAGGACAAATGAACTGCTTAGACTTTAGGATAAATTTAGGGATTAGTTTTAGTGGAGATGGTCATCAATGGGTACTTTATATTCTCACAGATTATTGCCAGTAGTGGGGAACTAATAACCAGATGTTCTTCTAGTGTGTCTTTTTTCTCATAATTCTTTCTCTGATTCTGCTTTAATCCCTGACACTCTCAGCTCCCACAAATCCCATTTCTGAGGCAAACGCATTTAATCTATCTTGACAGAGAAGGTAGAGTTGGGACCTGGATGGACCTCTGCGTTCCTAGTTCCTTGCTTCCTTCCTAAAAAGGTTTTAATTTTCCTTATGATTATAAAAGTAATATATTATCATTTTAAAAAATTCAATAAATACCAAAAAGCATAAAGAAAAATATACAGAGTAATCATAATTCCACCATCCTAGGCAACCACCTTTAACATTTCGGTATTTATGTGTCCAAATATTTTTCTATGTACACCCTTTAAGAAATGTAAAATGAGTGCTTATTAAGTGTCAGGAATTGTGCCAGGTGCTAAGAAAATGGTGGTAAACACTTGATCCCTGCCTTCAAGTTGCATTTAGTCTAGTGGGGAGAAAGACATTAAATAAATCCAGCAAATAATTTTATACTTACAAATTGTGGTAAGTGTGAGATTGACATGTATTTTGTCAAAGACAGACTTAAACCATACATACATTTTTTTTTTAAGATTTTTATTTTTTTGACAGATAGAGACAGAGAGAGAGAGGGAACACAAGCAGGGGGAGTGGGAGAGGGAGAAGCAGGCTTTCTGCTGAGCCAGGAGCCCGATGCAGGGCTCGATCCCAGGACCCTAGGATCATGACCTGAGCCAAAGGCAGATGCTTAACGACTGAGCCACCCAGGCGCACCCCCCCCTTTTTTAAGAGAGAAATCGGGGGAGGCACAGAGGGCGAGGGAGAGAGAGAATCCCAAGCAGGCTCCACACAGGGCTCAATCTCACGACTCTGAGATCATGACCTGAGTTGAAATCAAGAGTCAGACATTTAACCAACTGAGCTATCCAGGCACCTCCATACATACATATGTTTTATAACCTGTTTTCTTCACTTACATCAACGTATCATGAATATTTTCCCATGACAATAAATATAGATTCTGCACTAGAATTGAGAATAAGAAAAACATGCTCCTATCCCTGAGGGTTTGGTTCTAACTGGGGAGAGAGACATATAAATAGATCATTTCAATTCAATTTTAGTAGGGGTTGTATAAGGTACAAACATGGGGCAGGGAAGGCTTCATAGGGGAAGTGACTGCTTGAGTTCTGTTTTAAAGGATAAATAGAAATTTTCTAGTTAAGAGTGGAAGAATATACCAGGCAGTCAGCATGTGCAAAAACATGAAAGTTAAAAGCGTGGCATAATTAGAGAACCGTTGGCAGCTTGATATTGCTAAAACAAAAAAATGCTAACCTAAGCTTAGTAGGGTAGAATGCCAGAGAGGCAGGCAATGGGAAAGCTACTAAGGCCTATGTCCCCTGGTAAGGAGTTCGCATTTATCCACTTGACTATTTTGAACTGAGAATAACATGATCAGATTTCTGAGATAGAAAGCTCTCTCTGAAGGGTTGGCTGAAAAGAGAAGAAATTGGTGATAGTGGGTGATAATTAGATTTTCACAATAATCCAGGACAGAGACGGTGGCAAGGGAAACAGAGCAATTGGAGATGTATTAACCATGTTATTAGGGGTAAATGGAAGCAAATTAGCTGGAGTAGGAAATCAGAATTATCGGTGAGAGCTGACAAGAGCTTCGCAGGTAAAACATGACCAAATGCTAAACTCAAGAGCAAAGGGATGAAGAAAGCTAACTGGAGTTTAGAAGTTGAGGGACTTAGGAATAGGAATAGCATAGACTAGACTCCCCTGGAGCCTAGGGGAGAGTCTGGCTGAGGACACAGGTGAGATCTGGAGCCATGGATATTTGTATGTCCTTGGAACTCCCCTTTCACGTGGTTGCCAGACACATTCCCTGGACAGCATGACAACCTTGCAGTAAGTGAGCATGAACAACTGTTGTTTGTCTTTAATGGTCCCATCAAGTGAAGGCACAGATTTTTTGGGAAAATGTTCTATGAAAGAATGATTCCCTAGAGATACATCTTGAGAAGAAGTGGGCTGAATTCTCTGTGGTCACGCGGTAGAATCTAAGACTTTTGGAGTGAAAGCTAACATGTATGTATAATATATTCCTGAAGAAATAGATTGTAGCAGTTGTTTCTAGGGAAGGGAAGTGGGCAGCTGGGAGACAGGAAGAGAGGAAGATTTTTCTCAGTACCTTTTATACATTTTGAGTTTTGAATGAAGAGAATTTAACATCTATTCAAAACAAAAGTTTTGAAAAAGGAAGCTGAGGAAATGCAGAAGAAAAACATTACCTTTTCACACATCTGTATATATTTCCAAGTGACACAGTCCTGCTTGGAAAGTGGTGGGGCTGCTGATATTCATGTGAGGAATAAATTAGTTTGACCCACTGCAGTCTTAGGACCACCGTACCTTCTTAAAATGTACTGAGACATTTCTCTGCCCTATTTTCACCTCAATGAGAGCCACCTTCCTCCCTGACTGGAAGAAGAGAGGAAATCTACTTCTAGAGGGTTTAATTTAATAGGTTCAATCCCGTCATTCTGAATGAAATTACCTGGGATAAAGGTGGAGATGGGAAAAGGAGAACGAAGAGCCCATATTTAGAGAGAAAATGGACAGTCTAAAATTACAAGCTTCAAAGAGAACATCCATATCCCTTTCATTTCATGGCAGGACTTGGAGCCAGAGTCTATGAACAGGAAGCCACAGGCAACCTCTTCATTGTCAATCCATAAAAATAAGGGGAAAATGCTCCAAGCTCAAAGTCTAGATTTAGGACTGCAATTTCAGTTCTGCCCCTAAGGTTGTGTGACCTTGGTCAAGTGGTTTCCACAGCCTATTATATCAGTATCCTTTTCTGTAATATTAGGTGATTGGATACATGGATGACACCCAAATTTCTTCCAATTTCCACATCCTATAATTCTAAATCTTAGCAAGTCTTGTTATATAATTCTGTAGCTTTTCCTACCAGGCATTTCACTTCTGGCTTTTGACATTTGTTTCTTACCTCTATTATCAACTTCTAGCTTTGCAAGATGGAACCTAGAGGAGGAATGGTAGAAATTGGTGGGGCTTCAACAATCTTTGTGCCCAGATCACACACTGGGTAGAAAGCTCTGGAAGTTGTTCCAGCAACTTCTCCTTCATAATCAGGTCAGTTGGAGATAATTTTGTCTTTTTCCCAAATTTCTCTCTTTTCTAAGAACTCTTCTGTCTTCTTCTCTTGCAACCATTCATTTTACCCCTAAACTCCTTTTCTGTTCATTGGCCTGTATTCATGTATCAATGACATGACTGACTAATACATATAATTACTTCAATAAATAATTGAGTACCTACCATGTACTAGATAGTTTTCAAACTTTTTGGTCTTAGGACCCCCTCTGCATGTTTGAAAGTTATCAGGGAACTCCAAAAGCTTTTGTTTATATGGGTTATATCTAAATATATTTACTAAATTAAAAAATAAAACAGAAAATTTTGAACTATTAATTAATTTTAAAATAGCAAAAAATAGACCCATTATATGTTAATAACTTTAAAAAGACGAAAAACAGCTATATATTCAGAACAAAAAGAATTAGGGAGAGGAATGGCACTGTTTCACAATTTTGCAAATCTCTTTACTGTCAGGCTTAACATAAAACAGCTGGATTCTCATGCCTGGTTCTTGTTGCTTTGGGGTTTGTATTAGTTTCCTGGGGCTGCTGTAACAAATTACCACAAACTTGGCTGCTCAAAACAACAGAAATATGTTCTTTTGCAGTTCTGGGGCCAGAAGTCCTACATCAGTTTCACTGGGCCACAATCAAGGTGTGGCAGGGAAGTGCTCCCTCCAGATGCTCCAGAGGGAACTTCTCTCCTTGCCCCTTCCAGAATCTGGTGGCTCCTCACGTTCATTTGGAAGGAATGAAGCCAGTCTCTTCCCCTATCTCTGCATCAACTGCTCTTTTGTGTGCTGGCTAATCTCCTCATGCTTCTTTTTTATAAGGACATTTATGATGGCATGTAGGCTTCACTGGGATAATCCAGGATAATCTCTTTATCTCAAGATCCTTAACCCAGTCCCACCAGCACAAGTTTCACCATTCACCGGTTTCAAGGCTTAGGATGTGGACATACCCTTGGGAGCCGTTATCAGCCGATTTGATGTTTATGAAGAAAATCTGGTCTCACACAGATACGCAGTTTGGGAAAAAAAGAGTATTTTTATAGCCTTTTCAAATAATTGTGGATATTCTTCTTTAGTACAACACCAAAATTCAACAAGAAATAGTCTCTTAAAGGTTTGTTGCAATGTGGAATTTGAAAACATATCAGTGAATTTTTCTCCTGGGTTACATTAAAATCACTGGGCTATAGGCACTTTAAATGATCTTTCGTCCATTCATAATTTTATAACATCATGCACTGATCATTTGGAAGATACTGGTTCACTGAGTTATAAAGATCTTCCAAATGCGGACACATTTAATTATATATGATCAAAAAATAACATTCATTAATACCACCTCCAATCTTAACAAAACAGTTCTCACATATTGGGAAGTTATAAAACTCCTGGTGGTAGAAACACATTCTTCAAAACTGTAATTTTCACATGAAAGCTTAAATTTTATCAGTGGCAACAAATTCAGTTATCTTCCTTGAAGTGACAGACTTGCTGTTCATTTTCAAGAAAGCTACTGTTTGTTAATAAATGAAGAAAAGTGGCTGGTTCAGCTTTCAAGTCAAACGAGTTCACAAGTGCTTTTCCCTGAGGAACCCTGGTTGTGCATCAGAACTGCTTGATGTGTACTTCCAGTTTAGTCACACACTGTATTTAAAAGGAATGTACTGGGGCGCCTGGGTGGCTCAGTCGTTAAGCGTCTGCCTTTGGCTCAGGTCATGGTCCCAGGGTCCTGGGATCGAGCCCCCCCAACCCCCCCCCCCGCCCCGCATCTGGCTCCCTGCTGGGCGGGAAGCCTGCTTCTCCCTCTCCCACTCCCCCTGCCTGTGTTCCCTCTCTCGCTGTGTCTCTCTCAGTCAAATAAATAAATAAAATCTTAAAAAAAAAAAAATAAAAGGAATCTACTGAGAGGTCGAGATTTAACAAAATTAAGAATTCTTATTGCTTTATTAAAGATATTCTAAGGTAAACTGGCTTTCCCCCTCCCCCAATGGGAGTGTATGGTGATGAAGAGTACAATTTGCAGCCTCTGCCTTGATTTGTGCCAAGATGCCAGCAGTTTTGCCCAATTTTGCTTTTATACCATTAGTGCAAATATTAGCACAGTTGTTCCAGGATAAACTTACTTTAAAAAAATTGGTCAGTGAAAAAAAAAAAAAAAATTGGTCAGTGCTCTATTTCAGCACTACTTGTGTTTATTGCCAAGCATTTTATAAAAGATCTTTAAGTATTAGTGCTGACACTGGATAGATACAAGCAAAGCAACAAGCCTAGCTTACATCTCATCTATGTTTATATAATTTTTTTGTTCATCTTCAAGGAAATATAATTTTGCAGATGAGATGTTATCACAGACTTTACATTTGCAACTAAATTTCTTTTTTTTTTTTTTAAAGATTTTATTCATTTATTTGACAGCAAGAGAGGGAACACAAGCAGGTGGAGTGGGAGAGAGAAGGAGAAGCAGGCTTCCCGCTGAGCAGGGAACCCGATGCGGGGCTCTATCCCAGGACCCTGAGATCATGACCTGAGCTGAAGGCAGACATTTAACCAACTGAGCCACCCAGGCGCCCCGCAACTAAATTTCTAATTTATTGAGCTACTGCATCTATGGAAAGTAGCTTGGCCATGATTTCTTTGATGGATTTTTCATCCAGCAGGCATTTCCTGAGTAATGTACAGGCTTTATTAGTCTCTCAGTTATCATTTGCCCTTTTGCAGCCAGTGCAACACAATAATTTAACCTGTACGATGCTTCAGTGGGTTTTTCATTTCTGGTTTGAAAAATAACAAAAACGCTCTGACTTTTAAAGAGCCTACTATGTTTAAAACATTCAATTCCCTTTCCTTTCTTACAGTTTCGCCCAGATTCTTCCCTTTACCTGAGTCAGAGAATCCTCTGATATTGAGGTCAATGTCATATTTTTCAGCATCTTTAGATGTGGGAAGATTGAGAAAGCAAGTCTTCTAATCTCCCTTTTGTAAGCCAACCAAAGAACCTAAAGTTAAAAAGGGTAGAGACAAAATTTTATTTTGAATAAAATATTAAATTCTAAAAGAGTAACAGTTTTAAATAAAATTTAAACGTCTAGAAACTTTTTCAATAAATTAAAAATTATTCTTGCAAAGCAAGTCGACAAAACGAACTTTTTTCTTGTGTTTCTTCATAGGTGCAAGGACAGTTTAGGGATTTCAAAAAGCCATTTATTGGGGGGGGTGATTGATGGGGTTACAGAGATTGGGTATAAGGGAAGATAGCTTGTAAGAACAGACTAGAAGTACTAAGGAAAAACAGTTAATCTCTGAAAGCGCACATGTTTATACCCTAAGCCTTAGAAGGTTCCAGAAAACAGAGGAGTACTCAAGCACACGTTTCACCAGCCAACAAAGCTCTTAAGTCAACTATCCTCTTGAACACTTCTCTGTATACTCCTTAAAGGATGAGAGCGAAAAGAGCAAACATTTAAGTAGTATTAGGCATGGAGCTTTGACTTCGTGGACCCCCTGGAAGGGTCTCAGAGACCCTCAGAGGTCCCCAGACCGCATTTTGAGAACCACTGTACCAGGTTCTGTTCTAGGTAGAAGCTGGGGTAACAGCAATGGATAAACTATCCCCTCCACAGGGAGACAGGGTATTTCTGTAGCGGCCACTGCGATCAGCTCTGAAATGAGAAAGGACGGAGCGCCGGCTGCGAGTAGGGCAGGAGCACCCAGCCTCGTCTGCCGCGCAGTCGGCCGGGGCCGGGGGCGGGGGTGGCCTCGCGACCACTTCCTTCCCCTTCCCGACTGGTCCCCCAATCCCCGGAGAGGAGGGGTGGTTAGGAAGCGGCAGCGACCGCGACACCCCGGCGCGAGGAAGCCGCGGGACAGCCGCGCACTCATTCGACACCGCCAGGGTAACCAGCTCCCTCAGGGCCCGGGCCGCCCCGCCCCTCGGGGTGCGGGGGGAGGGGGTGGGGGCGGATTGGCCGCAGTGCCGCGGCCCGGGAGCGGAGGCCGAATGGGGGCCAGCAGTGTGCGCCTCCCGATGCGGTCTCGCGCGGCGCGGAGGCGTCTAAACGGAAAGGGAGACCTTGGGGGGCGAAGCGTGAGAGGGACCGGGCGTGAGACGCCGGGGTTGCCGTCGAAACCGGACCGTGCGGTACCTCTGTTCCTCCCCCGGAGGTCACCACCGCGCGCCGGCGGGCTAGCCGCCCTTCGCCGCGCGCACTCTCGCGCCCTCGGGCGGCCTCTCTCGAGAACGACACTGTCCTTGTCCACGCTGGACGCGAATAAAGATTTCTTCTTCAAACAAACAGGAAGTGTCTACGGAGGCCGGGCCGGCGGCTGGGCAGGGGCCGGGCATGAAGCCGGGCGGCGACCAGATCGCGGGCGGTGGCGGCGGCGGCGATGAGCGACATAGTGGAGAAGACGCTGACGGCGTTGCCGGGACTCTTTTTGCAGAACCAGTCGGTTGGCGGGCCGGCGGGCGTCAAGACGTCTTTCTCCTCGCGGCTGGGCGGCCTCGTCCGCGGCATCACCGCGCTAACCTCCAAGCACGTACGTGCTCGCCGGGCCGGGAGGTCGGGGGCGCGGGGCGGAGGCCCCCCGCGCTGGGAGGCCCGCGTCCGGCGGCGAGCCCCCGGGGCCGGCCCTCCGGCGGGGCTTACGGACTGCGTGTGTGTCAGTCGGTCCTTGCGTCTGTCTGGAAGCGTCACTTTCCTTCCCGGACTGACAGCTGGGAGGCCGAGTTTCCACAGTTGGCCGTGGCACTGAGTCATTATTACCCGGGGCTGGTCTCTTTGATCTTTGAGTCTCCGTGTGTTTCCTGAACGTTGAAGTGGAAAAGTACCAATACGTATTCCATAGGTTGTTCGAGGATGAGATGAGCCCTCAAGCGAGTGAAAATACCGAGAGCTGTGGGAGTGTCAGCATTGTTTACCTTCTACAAAGTTTCTTTGCAGCTTCTTTCTCTCCAGTTCTTTCACACACCGGAACAGACCCTGCCCTCTGAACCTGTTGTTCAGCGTCTTTGGGGAGCTTGAGGTTCTTAGGTTAGACCAACCGGGTGGGCAAAGAAAAAGCGTTAATTCTCCCAAAATGTAAAATCTGTTATCTCAGCCTCAGATGGGCTTTGAAAATGACTAGTTATATTAGAAAGTACTAAGTTTCCACAAACTTTGATAGTTGAACGGATTGTGTAAGATACTTCGTTATGTCGTAATTTGCTCAAAAGTTGATTTATGAAAGAGGTTATGTGTTAGACACTGACGAAAAAGAGTGAAACAAATTTTCTTTTCCCCAAGGGATTGGTCCTTCATCTTGGGCTTAAGACGGGTATAAGCAATATACAATGACATATAAGTGCCCAGAGGGAAGGAATGACAGGGAGAAGGATTTTCTTCAAAGTGCCCTTGGGGTTTAAAACATTGTTTTTAAGCTGAAATAAGATGATGCTCTGCTGGATGCTGTATTTCTGCTTCACATTCAGAAATCATTATTTATGGACATGATACTGTTTGTCTTAACATTTTGTCCTTTACTAATTTCTGTGAGATTCTGAGTGAATTTTTTTTTTAATTATTTTTGGTCTTAAATTGCATTTGAAACTGTACATAAGATATCTAAATGTGGCAGAACCTCCTGAGTAGTTCTTGAGTAAGCTACCTAATGGACATCTGCTGATTCAATATGTAATTTAAAGATAGCATTATGTTAGCCAAAGATGGGGCCAGTATTCAAGTGTGCTAAGGAGATGAAATTCAATGCGGGCAGTAGAAGTAATCACATTGGTGTATTTGTTGTGTGTATGAGAGAGAGATGAGAAGTGAGGAAAAGGATATGAGGAATAAGGAGAAAACAAGAGGGAAGAGTATAGCTTAAGGGAAGAAAACTGATTCCTATTTCTTCCTTCTTTCCCTATTTCTCTTTTCTATGAAGACTTTTTACTTTATTTATTTATTAAGATCTTTTTATTTTTAAGTTACCTCTACACCCAATGTGGGGCTCAAGCTCAGAACCCCAAGATGAAGAGTTACATGCTCCACTGACTGAGCCAGCCAGGTGCCCCAGGACTTTTTACTCTTAAAGGCAAGGTGTGAGAACGTTATCCTGGACCAGTACATGAAAAATTTCTTCTCTCTCCACCTTTAATTCAAAACAAAGCAAAACAAAACAAAACAAAATATTTTCTGCTAAACTGTCCTTGAGGGGACAGTAATTAAGTGAAGGAAAGAGGAATGGTGGATTATTCTTTCCAGGAATGACTGGGAGGGTTTGGAGCAATGCCTTTAGGCTAATCTTAAGCACGTAATTTTTAGAACTGTCCTTTAAAATGATGTTTTTTTTGTTGTTGTTGAAAGTATTATGAATTATATTTTTCTTTTTAAGAAATACTGTTATAGTTTGAAAAAACCATTATTCGTGCTTTTAAATACTTTCACTTTTTTAGGAGGAAGAGAAACTAATCCAGCAGGAACTGAGTAATCTGAAAGCAACTGTTTCTGCTCCTACAACAACACTGGTAAGTTTGCATAGTCAGTGCCAGTACATTTTATATTTGAAATCTGGTCCACTATGGAGTCTGTAGTGGCGTCTAATTGATCAGTTGCTAAAATCTAATTTATCATAGTCACAATCAGTTATGGATGGTAGCAAGTCAGACATCAGCTTAAGCTTTTTATTATTGACTGGCTGCACCAGAGCAAGATTTGCTTGAGTGATGTCAATTCAATGCCAACGTGATGATAATTACATAAATGTGGCAATTCTCATGGGACCCCAGTGCTGATCTTACTGTTTTAATGTTGTGCCCTGGGAAAAGGTTACGATATATCCTTTAAGGTAATATTTTCAGTCCTGAATTGGTATATTATAGATCTCTCATTTTACTCTTCTACATCTTGGAATATAGGTGAACGAGGTAGAAGAATGGTGTTCTTGCTGTAAAACAGTGTATTGCATAACAGCTAAATCAAGTTCCAGTTATTTTAGAACTTGAGTTCCATATAACTTGATTTCTCAAACAGCATTCTTTTAGCAGCTATTTAGTGAGTAGCCACTATATGCAGACCACATAGGTCCCTACATAGTTAGATTAAGATCTAAGTTTTTTCCTTTAAATTTTCATGTGGTTTCATATAATGAGATTTTGCCAAGCGACATTATTCAGCTAATATGTAGTGAGTGCCTTCTATGTGTAAGTCACTGTGGGAGTATTCTCCCTCTTCTAATAAAAATATAGGGGTGATCATCATTTTGCATGAACACAATAGTGTACATAAATAACATTTCTTCTTTGGGGGGTTATTTTTATTATTTTATTATTATTTTATTATGTTATGTTAGTCACCATACAATACAGCACCAGTTTTCGATGCAGTGATCCACGATTCATTGTTTTCGTACAACACCCAGTGCTCCACGCAGTACGGGCCCTCCTTGATACCCATCACTGGGCTAACCCATCCCCCTACCCCCCTCCCCTCTAAAACCCTCAGAGTCTTGTTTCTCTGAGAAACCCTTGTTTCTCAGAGTCCATAGTCTCTCATGGTTCATCTCTCCTTCTGATTTCCCCCCTTCATTTTTCCCTTCCTTCTCCTAATGTCCTCCATGCTATTCCTTATGTTCCACAAATAAGTGAAATCGTATGATAATTGACTTTCTTTGCTTGACTTATTTCACTTAGCATAATTTCCAGTCCCATCCATGTTGATGTAAAAGTTGGATATTCATCCTTTCTGATGGCTGAGTAATATTCCATTGTATATATGGACCACATCTTCTTTATCCATTCATCTGTCGAAGGGCATCTTGGCTCTTTCCACAGTTTGGCTATTGCGGACATTGCTGCTATGAACTTTGGGGTGCATATAGCCCTTCTTTTCACTACATCTGTGTCTTTGAGGTAAATACCCAGGAGTGCAATTGCTGGGTCATAGGGTAGCTCTATTTTTAAATTTTTGAGGCACCTCCACACTGTTTTCCAAAGTGGCTGTACCAACTTGCATTCCCACCAACAGTGTAACAGGGTTCCCCTTTTTCCACAACCTCTCCAACATTTGTTGTTTCTTGTCTTGTCAATATTTGCCATTCTAACTGGTATAAGGTGGTATCTCAGTGTGGTTTTGATTTGAATTTTCCTGGTGGCTAATGATGATGAACATTTTTTCATGTGTCTGTTAGCCACTTGTACGTCTTCTTTGGAGAAGTGTCTGTTCATGTCTTTTGCCCATTTTTTGACTTGAACATTTTTAAAGTCTAAGAGAATGTATATATTTCCTTTTATGATCATAGAAATATTTGGACAAATGAAGCTCAAAGCATAATTAATCTGATATATTTATGTGTATATATGTATATGTGTGTGTGTTTAGATATGTATATGTGTGTATATGTATGAAATCATTGTGGTATTTATTCATGATACTTGATAGAAATGTTAAGCAGAAATGGTATCTCTCCTTTTACTTTGTTTGATTTCCATTTTTTATAATTGACACATCTGGAGAAATAAGATAAATAGGTAGAAGTTAGGGAGCCAGAGTTTAGAAGGAAGATTTTGTAATAATAATGGACATCCAACTCTGGGCATGCTTTTTTTTTTTTTTTTTTAAGAGAGAGAAAGCAAGAGAGCATGATAGGGCAGGGGCAGAGAGAGAAGGAGAGAGAGAATCTCAAGCAGGCTCCACGCTCAGCATGGAATCCCTTGCAGGGCTCCATTCCATGACCCTGAGATCATGACCTGAGCCAAAATCAAGAGTCAGATCCTTAACCAACTGAGCCACCCAGGTGCCTCTCTGGGCATGCTTTATAGTCTGTTCCTGAGGTGGTTGGGTAGAGGTTGCATGACAGTTTGTTAGAGAAATTGTAAAAAAAATTTCTGCTTTGGGGAATGGACTTTCTTCTCTAAAACTAGGAGAATAATAATGTATGCAATATAATTTTAATTAAATAGATCTCATAATGACCTTTGAAAGACTCTGAGATAAAAAGTTACAAAACTGGGGTGCCCGGGTGGCTCAGTCGGTTAAACGGCTGCCTTCGGCTCAGGTCATGATCCCAAGGTCCTGGGATCAAGCCCCGCATCCGTCTCCCTGCTCAGTGGGGAGCTTGCTTCTCCCTCTCCTGCTCCCCCTGCTCACTCTCTCTCTCTCTCTCTCTGTCAAATAAATAAATAATAATAATAAAAAAATCTTTTTTAAAAAAAGTTACAAAACCAGGGATGATAC